GAACCAGTGCCCTAGGGCAAAAATCGAGTAAAACGGTTATAACTCAGTCTCACAGGTGCATGGGCCCAAATCCTCTTAGGGTTATTCTAGTGTCGGGGTCTCCTACTTATCCCCAAAGTATGAGCTCAAAAGCGGTGAATCACTTGGGGTAGTTCCCTCGTGAGCCAGAGTTCGGTTTCAATATATAGTTAATCTCAACTTAAGTAATACAAGAAAAACAAAATTACTTTTTCTATTTAGACTGGAACATTTTCACTGAAAAACATTGTCTTTGATGCACATCCCGGAGATCTTATTTGTATTATTGGTCCAGTTGGAGCTGGCAAAGTTTGTTAATCTATTTGTTTTTTAAAGAAAATATTTTCTATTCGAAATATGTTTAGAGTTCTCTTTTACAAACATTAACAGGTGAAATAGCTCACTTTGATGGTAAAGTTCGATTATATGGATCATTTAGTTATGTTCCACAAGAACCATGTTAGTAGTTTCATGTAAATAATTATTCAATGAATATTTATTGTTTTAGGGATATTTTCATCATCAATTAAAAATAATATTCTTTTTGGTAAAGAATATGATCAAAAACTATTTCAACGTGTTATCAATGTTACTGCACTTGACACAGTAGATTAATTGAAAAAAAAAATTTTTCTAAGAACACTTTTATAACATTCTTTATTATATAGGATTTAATTCAATCCTCTCATGGTGAAAATACTCTTGTTGGTGATCAAGGTATTATGTTATCTGGTGTAAGAAACAAAGATTATTTCATCTAAATATCATCTATTAAATATATAGGGTCAAAAAGCAAGAGTAAATATGGCAAGATCATTGTATCGTGATAGTGATATATATTTATTAGATGATCCACTTTCTGCTGTTGATACTAAAGTGTCTAAACATCTTTTTGATAAGTAAGCAAATAGACAACAATATGTAAATTTAAGAAAAAAAAACACACACACATAAACAATGATTGCTATTTTAGATCAATTAAAAGTTATCTTCGTGATAAGATTTGTATTCTAGTCACTCATCAAATTCAGTTCTTACAAGATGCAACTAAAATTATTGTTCTCAATAATGTATTCTTTTTTTTTTTTTAAATTGAAATTCTATATATATTTTATAGGGTGAAATGGTACAAATGGGTACATATGAAGAATTACTTTCATCATCAGTATCATTTGCTCGTTTACTTGAGGATATTAATCAACATAAACAAGAACATGAAGAACAATCAAATACTTTAATAAGACGACATTCAAAGATTGATTCGATTAGTTTAATAGAAGACGATGAAGAAGATATTAAGCCATTACCAACAAATATTGAAATAAAACAAGAAGGAATAGTGAAATGGGATGTTTATGTATCATATCTTCAAGCTGGTATTGGTGGAGTTTCAGGCTTTTTATTATTGTTAACTGTATTCTGTGTACAACAAGCAATGTCTCTATATAGTAACTGGTGGTTAGCAGAATGGAGTAATGATGAAAGTCATCGACATCGTCTTTATAATAATTGTACAAATATAAATGATACAAAAATTAATCGAATACGTTTTATGAGCGATAATGAATGGAATGAACATCGAAATCGACGATTTTATATCTTTTGTGGTTAGTTAATGAATAATATTTATATATTGTGAAATATAATCTGAAAAGAATGTTGAAACATAGAACCAGAAATTTGGACCTACCTCTTATAGATCATGACAAACACAATAAATATACGATCGAAGACCGTATATCAATAACATTTCGTTCTCATATATGAATAATTTCATTTCTTGAGAATTAAGTAAAAGAATGATGAAGAAAAATGTCCCAAAAATAAAGTAATCTGTCAATGATTAGCAAAAACAATTACATTTTAATCCCAAATGAATTGTGCTGATAACAATTTTGTCATACAGCTAATATTTTTCTATAGGTATTGTGGCTGCGCTCTTTTCAGTTACACTTTTACGAGTAGTGACTACAGAATTTATATGTTTAAATGCTGGACGAATATTACATAACAAGTAATAGAATTCATTTTTATAGATTTAATTCTTGTTTTTTTTTTTTTTATATTTATTTTCTTATAATCAGAATGTTTCAACGACTTATCAGATATCCAATACATTTTTTTGATATTAATCCAATTGGTATGTCATTTCTCTATTTAGAAATTCTTTTATCTATTTATACTTGTCTAATGATTAGGTCGTATTCTTAATCGTTTTACAAAAGATGTAGCTATTATGGATGATAATCTTCCATTGAATATGTTCGATTTTCTTCATGTAAATAGAATAAATAATCTTTTAATTGTATTCATATAAGAAATTTTCTTCTAATAGTGTCTATTTCAAGTTTTGGGTGCAATAACTTTAGTTGGAATACTTAATCCATTGGCATTTATACCAGCTGTAATGGCTGCCATTGCTATGTTATTTTTAAGATATTTATTTGCTCAATGTTTACGAGATCTTAAACGAATTGAAGGTGTTACAAGAAGTCCTGTTTATTCACAACTAACATCAACTATTCATGGTCTTAAAGTTATACGATCTTATCATGCTGAAAATATTTGTTCGAATGAATTTCTTCATAATCTTAATGATAATACACGTGTTAATTATTTGTTAATTACAACAAATCGATGGGCTGCTATACGTTTTGACTGGATTGCACTTTGTTTCATCGTTCTCGTTACATTACTAGCCATGATTGTACGTCTTACACAACGACAATTTTCAGCTTCAGATATTGCTCTCACACTTTCATATAGTCTTAATCTCATGGGTCTTCTACAGTGGACAATCAGGTTTATTTGAAAAAAAAAATATAAATATAAAAAATTCATTATATATATTTATTTTAGACAATCAGTTGAAGTCGAAACACAAATGACATCAGTCGAACGAATACTTGAATATTGTGCACTTGATCAAGAACCACCTGCACAAGTATCACCAAAACATCGTCCACCTATAAATTGGCCATCACATGGTGAAATTATTTTCAAGAATATTTGTATGTCTCATTCGAATGAACGAGATGCACCTCTTGCTCTAAATAATATTTCATTAACTATACGAGCTGGTGAAAAAATAGGTATTGTCGGAAGAACAGGTGCTGGAAAAAGTTCATTTATTCAAACAATATTTCGAATGGGTACAATTGTTAATGGAGAAATTAAAATTGATAATATTGATATATCAACTGTTGGATTAGATGATATTCGACGTCGAATTTCAATTATTCCACAAGATCCTGTTCTTTTTACGGGAACAATGAGAAATAATTTAGATCGTTTTGGTGATTATTCAGATGCTGAAATATGGTATGCACTTGAACAAGTTAGTCAATATTAATAATTCTTTTAATAATTCTTTAACTTGTTTATTAATTTAGGTACAACTTAAGAAATTAGTTACTAATGTTATGCCTAATGGTCTTCATTCATTTGTTAGTGAAGGTGGTTCAAATTTAAGTGTTGGACAAAAACAATTAGTATGTTTAGCAAGAGCTATATTGAAACAGAGTAAAATACTTGTAATTGATGAAGCAACAGCTAATGTTGATAATGCGTAAGTAAAAGAAGAAAAATTTCTTTCATTGAATATATTTATATGAATATGTTATGATTTAGAACGGATGAATTAATTCAACGAGCTATTTGCGAACAATTTAAAAAATGTACAGTATTAACAATAGCTCATCGATTACGTACAGTAATTGATAGTGATCGTATTATGGTATGAAAAATTGATATTATTTTTCTGGTGTATGTATTGGATTGTTGTTGTAGGTGCTTAGTCATGGAGAATTATTGGAATTTGATTCACCTTTTGTATTATTATCTAATCGTGAATCTGAATTTACATCAATGGTTAATCAAACAGGTGCGGCTGAAGCTGAACATCTTCGAATGTTAGCAAGTATTGCTTCATTAAAAGTCAAATGCATGGATAAGAATCTCAACGACGATAATGATTTATCGCCAGAAGCGGAAGAACGTGATCCTTTAGTCATAAAAAGAAAATCTCTGTGATGTCAGAAATAATTCAATTTATTATAGATTCATTTATTTTTTTTTTTCAATATAAAATATATAGTTTAAATAAATATGAATTTATATCCTAAATATAAAATTATGAGTCAGGATTTCAACTGAAAGATTTGAGAATATGATAATGTAGNGAAGCAACAGCTAATGTTGATAATGCGTAAGTAAAAGAAGAAAAATTTCTTTCATTGAATATATTTATATGAATATGTTATGATTTAGAACGGATGAATTAATTCAACGAGCTATTTGCGAACAATTTAAAAAATGTACAGTATTAACAATAGCTCATCGATTACGTACAGTAATTGATAGTGATCGTATTATGGTATGCAAAAAATTGATATTATTTTTCTAGTGTATGTATTGGATTGTTGCTGTAGGTGCTTAGTCATGGAGAATTATTGGAATTTGATTCACCTTTTGTATTATTATCTAATCGTGAATCTGAATTTGCATCAATGGTTAATGAAACAGGTGCGGCTGAAGCTGAACATCTTCGAATGTTAGCAAGTATTGCTTCAGTAAAAGTCAAATGCATGGATAAGAATCTCAACGACGATAATGATTTATCGCCAGAAGCGGAAGAACGTGATCCTTTAGTCATAAAAAGAAAATCTCTGGGATGTCAGAAATAATTCAATTTATTATAGATTCATTTATTTTTTTTTTCAATATAAAATATATAGTTTAAATAAATATGAATTTATATCCTAAATATAAAATTATGAGTCAGGATTTCAACTGAAAGATTTGAGAATATGATAATGTAGAAATGATAAAGAAATTTGCTTCAAGATTGATTTTTGACAAGTCATGGAGTCTTTTTTTTTTAGCTAGATTTGCAAATTATAAAATAAGGTATATTTAAGAAAATATTTGATAATCCTTCTTTAGGTTTTTGTTATCGCTTTGCTGTTTTTAACAGATTGTATATAATGTAATAATTTTCTTATTTCTATTTCAATAAAAAGAGAATAATTTTCTAAATAATTCTTTGAATAAGTTATGAAAAAGCTAAAATTTTGGCAAAATAGATATAAATCTTCACTTTGCTGGTATTTCAAAAAATACTTCAACGAATGTCAGAAAATATTTATAACTCTCAAACCTTCCGAGACATTTGAAAAAAATGTGTTGAAAATGTAACAGCATTACGTTTTGGCATGCCGAATATTGTAGAAGATATTTAATGAAAGAGGTAAAGAGAGACGAGATGAAGGCTCATTTGTTTTTTTTTTTTTGTCTTTTTCGATTTCTAACAGTCACTCATATACATACTGATAACCGCACAAGAAAACCTTTGAACTAAATGAAAAATAAACTGCGCTGTATATGGAAGATACAAATCGATGTTGTAGTATTCACTTTTGCTTTGTAGCAATCGATTTGCTGAAATAAAATTCATTTTTTAAGTAATCACCTAATAAGAATGATTAATGATCGACGCCGCATTTCATGTTATTTACAGTCCATTCTAGTAATTTGGATCATTTGAAAGAAAAATAAGTGCATAGTGATTACTTTTGAGTCATTTTGTATCAGTGAATAATATATTTTTATCAATAAATAGCCGAAAATGTTCTCTTTGGAATCATGTAAAAATATTTTGAGTGAGATTCACAAAAAAGCTGAATGCTTTATCAAAGAATAAACTAAATTACCTCAATTGAAATAATTCCGATCACTCCAGTAAAAATGACTTGAATTTCATATTTCTAACCTCATACTCGTTATCAGTAACTTACACTCAGAGACATAATCTGCGACTAAATTGAAAAAATTTCCTCACTATAAAATTGAATTCGAATTCTTTTGGAAAATTAGAAAATTTTTCGTCTGAGATAGAAAAATAATGAATGTCCTATAATGACTGTCTTTATTTTATTTTCTATCTTTGAAATATTTAACAATTATTTTAAGTTTTGGTTTTCAGCCTGCAAATAGAAAATTTAGTTTTCTACAAAACTGTCGACTTCATTTTTCAAGTAGATTTTGTGCGCTATAACAAAGTTGGTCAAATTAAAATCTACTGCATGGAACAAGTGCAAAAATTTAAAAAGTGAAAAAAAATGATAGAGAATTTAAAAAAACGGATCTGTTGGAATTAAAAATATGCTACAATATTATGTACAAAATTCTATATTTTTCGGTGTGTCTTTAAAAGTGGTAGAAAAAAATATTTTGGAGAAAAAATTTCAACACACAGAATGTCAGAATAATCAAAAAACTTAGTTTCAGACAAATCTGTGGTATTGTTTTCAACTGATTCAAAGTAGTCTGAAAGTTTCAACTATTCAACCCTGACTAGTAATAAGATCATTTTTCAAAATGTATCGAAAAATATTCTCAGATATTAGTTCGCAACTTTTTTTTCCGCAGAACGAAACACTTCGAGCCATGCTAAGCTTTATGAATATGTAGAGCAAAATAATCTCTATTGTTTGATGCGAAATACATAGCTTTTAGCATCGACCTTGATGCGCATACGTTCACACAAATCAACTTTCATCTGTAGCAAAAAATAGGAATTTTCAGTTTGACAATTGAATAGGTTCTAATCTCAGAAAACTCATGTCTGCATGAAAAAATTTTCCGAAAAATAAATTTAGTACTTTTTTTTGAGAATTGAATTCTCCATTCGACACGATCAGAACTAAAAGAAGATCGCCTTTCTAAAAAAAAAATGTTGTCGAAATTCAATGAAATTTGGCTGAATAACTTTTAGTGATATAATACGAACGTTTATGTTCATCGAAATGTAAATTTTGAAAGAATAAACAAAAATGTTTCATAAAAAATAGATGTTGTATAATGAGATTCTTCACTAATGAAAATATTTAATAAGCATACGATCGTAGTCGTCGAACACAAAGAAAAATTTTGGCAAATTCTAGCTAATCTTGTTTAGGTTTTTCGTATAGTTCTTCTTCACTTATAATGAAGAATCCTCAGTTCAATTCTTTGACGATGTTTCCTCAAGAATGCTTTCTAAGTTTGCTTCATTTAGAAAATATTATTATTAGCTGTAAAAGAAGGTGGAAAATATTGACATTTGTACAAATAACGTGATGTGCTATTCGAATCTATCGATTTGGTAAAAGGAGAAAAGTTTTGAGCCTACCGTAGCCCTGTGGCTCTGCCGCCTATGCTTATTGGACAGAAGTAAGTAGTAGATAAAATGTGCAGTGATCTTGTAACAACGCATAATCTGTCAGAATAATATGAAATTTAAGCCGTAATTGAAAATTTTTTGAATTAAATAGAGCCTATCTATGCTGTTATCTATCCAATATAAGATAGACTCGAGCTAACTCAAGGCCGTCTAGGTTTGTCATAGTAATATTTTATATATTCATCTTTCAATCCAAATAATCAATGTCTTATGAAAAATATTTTATGTTATTGAACTAATAAAATTTCTCAATAAAAAAAAAAAATTTTATTCATTCAAACATTTGTTAGAGAATATTAAAGTTAAATGGGAACCAGAGATAGAAACATTTAAAGACAAATGAAAAATAGACTTAAAAATCATATATCACGAAGATAGAAAAAAATTCAATGAAAAAAAAAAACTACATAATTAATCGTCAAACCATGAAGACAGCCAACTCATAACACTACGTCGTCGACGACCTATGGAATCAAATTAATTGTATACAATCAAAAACATATAAATAAATGTATACCTGTTGTACAACTTGGATAGAAACATGGTCGAGTGCCACTTACATCACTATTAGGAGTACATGTTGTACAATTTCTAGCATATTGATCAATACAAAAACGTTGTCGAACATATGAACCAGTACCACATGTTATAGAACATCGACCATTGACCCATGTAGACCAAGTACAAACTAAACACATATATAATAGTCTAATTTCTATTTTCTTCTATACGAATACTTACTGATACATTCATCTGGATTACATGTTCCAACAGTAGTTATATTCGTATCACATAGACCTGCAACTGAACATAATTGTGGCACTGATGAACTTGATGCAGCTATATTATAACATGTTCGATTTAATGCTTGAGTACCATTGCCACATGTTTGTGAACATTCAGTTGCTGGTACATAAGGACCAAGTTGACACACTAGAAAAAAAATCAGCAACAAAATAAATTGATTTTTACTTCTTATAGCTATGCAAACCTTCACAAGGTGATTTTTCACATATTTGTGTTTGAGTATTATTTCCTCCACATGCATTACATGGTGTATTAGTATTTAAATAAACACACGATCGACTACGTGTCTGATAACCTTGACCACATGATATATTACATGATGACCATGTTGACCAACCAAAATATGAACAATCTATATAAAAAAAGCAACATTTTATTTGAAATAAAACAAAATCAAAATTTCTTACTTGAGCAATTATTAGATATTAACATTGCTTGTGGAGAACCATCTGCAGTATTATTTGAATACATACATTGATATGTACTGCAATTATATTTTTGCCAAACACTTCCAACCTATGGATATATTTGACAAAAAGAAATATATATATTGAATCGATTTTATTATATATATACATACAGCATATTTTTCATTATTTGATCCATAACAACCACAATCACACCATAATGAACATGAATTTGTTGAATCATCCCATGCATAAGGGGATCGACATAAACATTTTGGTTTCCATGGGCTTGTTAAACACCATGTAGTATTATCTGGATTTGAACAAAGTGAAGGACAAGATGTTGGAGTTGTACTTGTGTATACTTGGTTCGATTGACATGCTATTAACGAAAAAAAAATAAGAATGAGCTCATAAACTAACGGAATAATAAAGTTTTTTACATGGACAATCGGATAATTCAGTACAAGTCGTCACATTGAATGCCACACCTGTACAACCATTACCACCTATAAGAAAAAGTGTTTTGTATTTATTCAGTTATATGATGTTATCCTACATACCATATAGTGGAGCTGGACTATCACAAACTCGAGTAGTATATTTTGTTGCATTTTTACCACAAGTAGCCGTACAAGATGACCATGGTTTCCATGCACCCCATTCACCATTGACTAAATGAAAAGAGAGAAGTTTATGGAATTTTTTTCTATACTCAAAACAAACATACTTGAACAATTCTGTGCAGCTGAACATGTTTCATAGAGTAGTGAAGAACCAGGACATGAAACACCACCAAATGTTGGTACTATTTGTGTACAAGTACGTGTACGAACCGTCTATTGAATAAAATAATATATATTTTAGTTTCATGAAATCTTTATTTGAAATATTATCTTACAAATCCAGTACCACATGTAGCTGAACAAGGACTTCGTGAACTCCATGTTGTCCATTGTCCATCAACTATTATATTACAAAGAAAAAAAAATAACAATGCAAATAATTAATATAGATGAAAAAATTCAAACTTGGACAAGTAACATTTGTATTGCATGAAGTTGTTTGTGTTGCGGAACCATAACATGGTTGTCCACCATCAGATTGATTCATACAAAGACGTGTTCGTGTTTGTGTACCAGTATTACATGAAGCAGTGCAATCAGAATAACTACTCCAAGTTCCCCAGACACCATCCACAGGACAATTAATAGATGAATTGCATGATTCTACTTCATAATTTAAGCCAATACAGGGTAAACCCGTTGTTGTACAATTTCGTGTCTAGGAAAAACAAAAATATTGATGATTAATTTCTTTTTTTATATAGTAAATTATATTCACTCGTCGTCTGATACCAGATTCACCTGATAGTAAAATACAAAAAAAAGAATTTTAAGAATCTAAATGCATAACAAAAATTCATTCTTACATGTAGCTGCACATTCTGACCATGCATTCCAATTTTCCCATACACCAATTCCTATAAAAATCGAATAATTATTATTTTAGACTTATTTTTTCCTTCCATGAAAAACGTACCAACAGCAGGAGTAGAACCTAAATATATATATATAGGCATCTAATTTTTTTCAAAATCTTTTTTTCATTTTACATACCACATGTAGAATTGCCACATGTACCATCAATTTCAACTGATGATCCAATACATGACAAACCACCATTCGATGGTACAGGATTAGAACAATTTCGATATCGATAACGACGGCCACCAGCACAAGTTGATGAACATGTTGACCATCCACCCCATGATGACCAACCACCATCTATGGGACACGTAAGTAATCCATAACATACTTTCGTTTCCATTGCATCTCCCGTACATAACTGTCCACTTGAATAAGAAAAAAAAAATGTTTGATACAAATTTATCTTTATTTTAATAACTTTTACCCATCCGATGGTTGAGGATTATTACATGTACGAAAACGATAACTACTACCAGCAGTACAAGAACCTGATGAACAATCTGTCCAATTTGTCCAAGATCCCCATCCACCGTCAACTGAAATAGTTAACATTATTTCAAAATAATTAAAAATAAAATAATTTACTAACTTGGACATGTTATATTTGTATTACATTGTTGAGCTTCTAATGATGAACCAGAACATTGTTGACCTCCAGCTGTTACATTACAAGTTCGTGTTCTAAATAGATTATTTCAAATAAAATTTACTTTATAGAATAATAATCATAATAATAAAATTACCGAACTTGAAGACCAGTACCACAACTGCCACTACACGTACTCCAACTACTCCAAGTTTTCCAAACACCAGCCGCTAGAAACAAACATATAGATAAGATGCCGATATTTTATTTTACATCAAATTATACATACTAGGACAAGTAACATTGACATTACATACTGCTGTTTCCAAGGCTTGTCCAATACATAGTTCATTAAAATTATTTGTATTATTACAATATCGAATCTAAATATATATATATATATTCAAATTAAATATAAAAACTATAAGTTTATAATCATACGAACTCGAGTTCGAATACCAGCACCACATGTAGTACTACAAGATGAATAACTTCCCCATTGTGTCCAATTACCATTAACTGGACAAGCAACATTACTATCGCAAGTTTGTGTTCTTAGAGCATCGCCTCTACATAACGATCCACCTTGCGAAGGAGTTGACGTATTACAAGCTCTTTACAATATTAAAATTATTAAAAAACAATAATCTATATTTAATATCTCTAATTTTACCTTGTTTGATACTGAGTACCATTTCCACAGCTTACAGAACACGGCGACCAACTCGACCATTCACTCCAATTACCACTAACTAATATTTTTAAAAAAATCTGTATTTGTAATTTATCTATTTCAATAATGCGAATGAAACTTACCCGAATTCCAAGGAGCTGGAGCTGAAGGAAAAAAGAAAAGGAAAATCATATATTAATAGTAAAGTACAAATAGAATTATACATACTAGCACAACTAACTCCTGAATCACATGTTTCAACTTGAACTGAATCACCAACACAATTAATCGAACCAATTGGAAGACATGTTCGATTACGTATAAGAATACCATAACCACAGGAAGCCTTTATATTATTTAATAAATATATGTATACATAAATGAATATTTAACAATTAATTCTTACTGAACAAGTTGTAGCATTTACCCATGCACCCCAAGTTCCCATCACTATGACAATTAATAAATTTTCTTTTAATAAAAAAAAAAATCTTATTCCTTTCATTACCTGGACATGTAAGAGTAGATGCGTTACATAGAATTGTATCAAGTGCTGAACCAATACAATAAGTGCCACCATATTGTGGTTTTGGATTTGAACAATTTCTAGAAAATGAAATTATTGCTTTTTGTTTTTGTTTTATTTGTTTTTACCTCTGTCGGATTCGATAACCAACTCCGCATGTTGATGAACATGCTGATTGTGTCCAAGATGACCATCCACCATCAACTATAATAATAATTTAAATATTCTATTTACTAAAATAGTTTTCTAAAGAATTAACATACTTGGACAGGGTCTATTTGATGAACATGCTCGTGTTTCTTTTGTATCACCAAAACATTGTGATCCTATAGAAAATATTTTAATTGAAAGAAAGTTAATACATCATATTCTATTACCTCCAAATGCCGGTACAGGATTATTACAATTACGTGTACGTACTTGTGTTCCATTACCACATCTAAAAATAATTTTACATTTTAAACATTTTTTAAACAGAAATTATTTACGTCGCTGAACATGGTCCATAATTTGTAAAATTTGACCAACCACCATTGACTATATGATATAATAATAATTATATATGATTAAATATTATTTAAAATACTTACTTGGACATGTTACATTGGTATTACATGTTTGAAAATCAATTGTAGAACCAACACATGGATAACCACCATTATATTGCCCCGTACAATTACGATATCCTTTTTAAGTTTTTATATAAAAAAAAAAGAATATTTTTTTAATTCATGTAAAACTTACTTGTTTGAGTTCCATTACCACATGTACCTGCACATGGTGCCCAACTTGTCCAAATACTCCAAGTTCCATTAACTAATAAACAAATTAATTAAATAATTTAATTCTATTCTTCATTTATAAAACTTACCTGAAGCACCTGTAATCACTATAAAATGAAAAACAAAAAAATATTATTACGAACATTTTACAAACCACAAAAAAACCTACAAATAACACACGGAACATCATCATTGCATGTTTGATATTGATAACTTGAACCAACACATGGAGCTCCATTATAAGCTGGTGATGGATTTGTACAATTTCTGTATAGAAAAAATATCTTTTTCGTATATGGGTAAAATCATTCGTTAGAAACGTGATTTCACAAAATTAAAACATGTGTATTCTGGAATAATACGTTTTTCTAAAGCTAAATTTTATGTTTCATGTATGTATATTAAGTTACATTAAGTATCCTGAAATAATTAGCGCTAAAAACTTTTGTTCGGAGGAGTCATCAGTAAAAACCTATCGTTAATGATATGACATAAAAAAAAAAGACATTGAATTTCACTTTATTCATTTTAATTTAAAAGGATTTCAATTTGAGACATCATTTTTGACAAATATTTTTATAATTGAATGAGAAGTTCAAAACCAATTCCGAATGGTGCGAATTCTTGCTCAGAATCTCTAGAAAATCGGTTTTCAAAAGGAAGCTTTATTAAATTTGATCTTGCTAAAAGCTGCACCATAGATGCAGTTTAAACCGTAGTCTATCCTAAAATTTTCAGATTCTATTCTCGTATTTTTAGAGAGATATTTCCTAATTACTTAATGAATAGTCACCTGAAAAAGCTAAAATTTTTGCATAAGTCTATGTTAAAAGAACTTATTCACAAAAATAATCCTTGTAAAAAATCAGAGTCTAATGAAATGTGAGCATGTTTCATTTTATTTGAAATGACTCTTGTGAATGATATAATGAAACATACAATACCTTGTTCGTGTCTGTATACCACCTGAACAATTCAATGAACAATTTGACCAACTTGTCCAAGTAGTCCATCCACCATCAACTAAACAGAATTATAATTAATAGGAAGAAAAAATAGGAGAAAAAAAAAACTAAAAGAAAATATTCTTTTCTCAAAATTTACTTGGACACGATACATTTGTTAAACAATAAGCTGTTTCAAGTGGTGGACCAATACATAAATCTCCACCATATTGTGGTACTGGATTATTACATTCACGAATCTATTATTTTAAAATTTCAAACTATTAACTATTAATTTTAATACTAAATAACTTACTCGAGAATAAACACCAATACCACATGTAACACTACATGTTGTAAAATTACTCCAATCACTCCAACCACCATCAACTAAAGCATATGCATAATAAATAATATAAAATTATCTATTGAATTTACTTGGACACGGTCTGTTAAGATTACATATTTCTTCTCGTCTTGTAGGACCTGCACACATAAGACCACCACCACTTGGTGGCGTACAATTACGTGTATAGATTTGTATACCATTACCACAAGTACCAAAACATGGTGTAGTTAAACCTTTTAAATGTAAAAATAGGAAGAAAAAATATCATAATATTTGAAGCTGATTTATAATTTACTCCAATTTCCCCAGATTCCATCAATAGGGCAATCAATACCAGTTGAACAATTTTGTATTTCAACTGATGTTCCTTGACATTGTTGGCCACCATTGGCTGGAGCTGGATTTGAACAAACACGCTACATACAATTAAAATATTTATTTTTTTAAATTCTACATTTCAATTTTATTATTCAACATACCATACGTGAACTTTCACCATTTCCACAAGTACCACTACAGGCTGAAAAACTTGTCCAAGTTGACCAATTACCATTGATTGGACATGGTTGTGTAGAATTACAAGATGTAATATTAATAGGAGATCCAACACAATAACTACCACCATAGCTTGGCAGTGGTTTAGTACATGATCTAATCAATAAAAATTTAAAAAACTAAATAATATAATAGAAAACAAAACGAATTAACCTTGTTTGTATTTGTGTACCCGATCCGCATGTACTAGAACACGGACCCCACTTTGACCATGCACTATAACCTCCATTAGCTGATTATTAATGAAATAAAAAATATTGACTAACATTATATACAAATTAATCTTACTTGCATTATACGGAAATCCTAAAAAAAATAGGAAATATTGTATGCGAAACAAAAGTAATTCTAACTTACTGCTGCAACTAACATTTGTATCACATAATTGTGTGTCAAGTGTTGAACCCAAGCAAACACCACCACTAGATGCACCAGTACAATTACGTGTTCCTGCAAAGAAAGACATCATTAATTAAAATTATTTTTTTTTTAAATAACATACGATATACTGTAGCTGTACCACATGTTGCTGGACATGAAGACCAACTAGACCAACTACTCCAAGTTCCATCAACTTTTTAAGAAAAACATTTTTCTTTGAAATATTTTTTCATAAAATATCATTTTGACATACTTGGGCAAATTACACCTGTATTACAAGTTGTTGTATTTATTGCTTCACCAACACAACCAAAACCAGCACCAAGACAAGTTCGTGTTTGATATTGATAACCAATACCACACGATACAGAACATGTACTCCAACTTGTCCAATTACTCCAGTAACCAATAGCTAATTCAAATAGGTTTATTTTTTTTTTAAAGTTTATTTATCTATACAAACCATCACATTGATAGGATTCATTATATCCTGAACAATTTTGAAATTGTAGTCCATAACCAACACAAGATAATCCACCAGATGTTTGATTAACGCAATCACGACGACTAGCTCTCAAACCAGGAGAACAAATCGATGAACATGTTGAATAAGTACTATATAAAGACCATGCTCCATTGACTAAAAGTCAAAAGAAACGAAAAAAAAAAGCAAAGAGCAATGGTAACAATTATTTGATTAATTGATTAAAAGTTTATAAATATACAGAAAAAAAATTTCATACTCGGACAAGCTCCAGCATAACAAGCTGTTACAGTACTACTTGATCCATTACAAGAAGCCGAACCAGATGCACCAGATAATGATCGTGTACAATTTCGATAGGCTGTACGTGTACCATTACCACAAGTTACACTACATCCACTCCATGTTGACCAACTTGACCAAATATCCGAATCAGGACATGTAATATTAGTGGAACAATTAACTAATTGTACACCTGAACCAGAACAATATGAACCACCATTTTGTGGTGTTGGATTTGTACAAGTACGATATCTAATATATTAATATAGAAGAAATTTTATATTTTAAAACCTAAAGTATTTAACTCACTGTGGTCGTGAACCATTGCCACTAAAAAAAAATATATTAAACATTCTATGAGAAATCAATTCGAAAAAAAATGCATACCAAGTTGCTGAACAAACAATTGGAGTAGGATTTTGCCAATCAGTCCAACCCCCATTGACTATAAATCAATTAACAAAATGTACATAGCAACAATGAGAAAAAAAAGTAACATGAAATGAAACTTACTCGGTGTTGGTATCACACCTATAAATACAAAAGAAAAAAAGAGTAAAATTATGTATATTATTCAATATTCCACTTACTAGTATTACAAATAGTACCAATCGTTTGAATAACACCTCCAAAATTACATATATATGTGCTACAAGTTTCATTCCATACTTGATTTAACTATAAAAATAAAATTCCTTATAGTTTAAACAACAAGAAAAAAAGACTCAATATATTTATTATTACTTGATGATAACCAGACGTAGAATCGAGACAACCACAATCACATTCTCGTATACATTGTCCGCCGATAGAATCAAGAAAATAGCCCGCATCACATACACATCTAACGGAGCGTACTGTACAAGTTGAATTACCGGCACGATTTTGACAAGTAACACCACAATCTGTATAATTTCGTTCAATATGACTATTGATTGGACACGAATCTGGTAAAGACAAAAAAAAGGATAGCTTTTTTAATAAGTCAAAAAAAGAAAAACAACATAAACAAATTACATACCAGGACATGCTGGTAGTTCTGTACAAAGTTCAGATATAACATCACTACCACTACATGTACCACATGGTTTATTATCATCATCTGTCAAACATTGACGTGTTCGTAATCGAAAACCAGTATTACATGATGCTGAACATGGGAATACAGTGAAATTTGTCCATGAACAATAGGGACATGGACCACGTATACAATCCATTGTTTGAACTTCAGTTGATAGATAGGATGTTTCCCAACAGGTATTGCAAGTATCTGTTGTATTTGATATACAATTTCTTGACTAGAACAAAATAGAAGGTGACTAGACAAAAACAAAATTTTAAAATTAATAATTATTACTCGTGAATATGTACCATTTCCGCTAAAAGACAGAAACAAAAAACTTAAGTCTTATAGAAAAAAAAAACAATTTAAAAATTCACATACCAAGTTACACTACAAGCCCAAGTAGACCATGTCGTTGCATAACAACTTTGGCAAAAGACTACTTCTACAAAAATAGATAATAATAATAATAAAAATTTCAGAAGATTATGTAACTGAAATCAATGTACCGGTCGATAAAGCAGTTACAAACAATAGCAAAAGAAACTTGAAATTCATTTGATTCAGCAAAACTCTAAAATGCTGTTGTACATGTAAAAATCAAAGGTTTAAGCTTGCTTTGGTGTTTGTCTACTTCTTCAAGTGAGTCGCTGTTTTTGTTCTTTGATTAAGTCAGTAGCGCACGGGCACTTGAAAGCTGAGTCTAAAATACATTGTAAGAATTTTCAATCAACCTTATGCGTTGGCAACCTTGAAAAAAATTAGACGAACAAGAATGAACGAGAAAAACTGAAGAGACGTAGGCGGTACAAAAAAAAATAGAAATCAAAAAACATGTAGAAGAAAATTTTCTGTTGATCATAAAGTAAATGAAACAGAGAGACAAAATCAGAAAGAAAAAAAAAGAGACCGTTCGATTGTATCATTATGAAACAAGAAAAAAAAATATATAGCACTATACAAGAGAAATCATGATCGAAGTGCAGAAAAGAAACCATTTGAGTGCAATGAGAATGAAATTAAGATTGAGTGAAACCAAATCGACTCTATATGGCACTCTCAATCTCTTACATAATTACATACATATATGTAAACATTTCATTGATGATACTTTTCAATATTCTTTTGTTTTCTTTTATTGAAAAAAAATGAAAGTTTACATCTATAACAAACCATGCTCTATAGAAAAAAGAAAAAGAATCGATTAATTTGTTGCACATGAAGTTAAAAACTTGTTGATCATTTTTTTTGTGGAAAGAAACAAGTAATTGATTTAGTTTGTTTTCATTAGAATGTTTTCTTGAGTTGTTTTAAAACACAAATAAAAAGGCGTTGTCATTTTTTTGTTTATATATGAAATTTTAACTTCTCTTTTGCTGTCTACTCATATATGCACATATACATATATATATAAGTAGTTGGTCTTGTTTTTTAAATCAGTTAAAGCACGTAGAAAAATATTATTCATTATTGTCGACAACAAGTGAAACGGAATTTTTTCTTTTTCTTTTGTACTTATACATCAACAAGTCGATCTTTAAAAACAACACATATTTAACAATCAATTATGCAACCATATCCGTATGCCGGATATCCAAATGCAAACGGTGCAATAATGCCCGTTGGTTATATGGTACCACATAATTATCAACAAAATGCTCCATCATTGGTCAACCAACCTTCTGATCGTTATACTGGAAAAACATCAACAGTTCATCCTTCTCAGTATACATCACAGCCATTACGTTATCCATCATATGATGTTCCACCTGGATATAGACCAGGATATCCTGCACCGGGTCTTCCACCACCGCCTATATCAACTATGATGCCTGCTATGCCTCCTAATCAAGCATATCATTATGCTCCTAATGGATTGAACCCTGCGGTACCACCTGGTACAAAAACACAGACAACTGTACCAAAAAAAGGTTCAAAAGGGTATGCAAATGATCCATATAAAATGACACCAGATGGTACACAAAATCATGCAATTAAAGGTCTTGTTTCTAATAGTAATATTAGTGATTTATTAAATCATCAAGGTACAAAAGTTAAAGTATCAAAGATTTATCGGATCACAAAAACTAAACCTGATATCATTAACAATAATTCGAGTGATGATGATTTGGAAAAATTACCACTTAAATCAGCTCGATCAGTAACAAACAAACCACAGCCATCAGTACCAGTTCAACGAGCACCATCAGCTGCATCTAGTTGTAGTCATTGTTCAACATGTAGTAATTGTTCTTGCTCAGAATGTCTTAATCAAGGACAAAAAAGTTTTGATGATAATTGTCCTGACTGTCGTATGGAACGGGAACATGAACAAGCACAACGACAAAATCGTAAATGATCATTTTATATTTTGTATACATAATATTGTATATTTTACATATATGGAAATAAAATAAATATCTTCTATTATATATTATTTTAAAAAATAAATGTTAAAATCTAATAGATTTTTTGTTAAAATATTTATAAAAATTAAACATTATAGAAAAATACAGTTACAAATAGAGGCCTATAATGGAATACAAAATCTGACTCCATCTGGGTCACTAAAAGAATTTTAGAAATGCATGAGCTTATAGATTCATAAATAAGTTTCAAGAAAAAAAACAGCAGAGAGAGGCATTCTTACATTAATAAATAGCACTATAAGAAGTATAAAGGGTGTTCCATAAGTAACGATCCTATTTTTATTTTTTTCTTATATCATTGCCATACTCGAAGAGGGAGAAGTGTTCAATAAATGTATTTATAGAAATTACACTCAATTTGCATCAACTGTAAGAAAGTGCTACATTAGTAAAGATATTGAAAAAAAATTTTGTCAAAGTCATGTTTTACTTGGGTTTTGTAGAGAATTGTACAGGCTATCTTGTCGAAATAAAATCAAGTCAATGCATCAAAAACTGACAAAATAATTCACAAAATACTGAGTGAGTAATTCTTTATAAACAACAAGTAAAAAATGATTTGATAAAAAATTCTTCAATACTTTTATCAATGTGGCATTTTCTTATAATTGATGCAAATCGAATACAATTTCCATTGAATATCTTAGATGTTACTCTTCAAATATGTATATCCAATAACTCTTCACCTTTAAGTATAGCAAAGATAGAAAAAAAAAGAGGCCCTTACTTGTGGAGTACTCTTTATATACTAATTAAAAAATTTTCTTAGTCAAAAACTTTGATTCCAGAAGACTTGAATATGTTACAGAACACTAGAATTTGAGTTTTTTTTACTTCTTATTTGACAAGCGTATCGATTTTAGTGTTGATGATGCAAAATATGCTGATACTTGGCCAAATAAGACAGTTTGGGATTCAATTAGGATAAAAATTCGAAGAAGAAAGGTTTGAAAATGAATCAAAATCGAAAAATCGAGAAGTACAAGTATGGAAAATGTTTACCACGGCAGTATGCAAACAGATAATGAAAACTGTACCCAACCGATTGAAGCAAGTTATGAATCACGATGAAGAGCATATGCATAAACATTGACACACGTCTTCTTCTTGGTATATTTACCGAATTGTGGTTATTAATTCTAGTTCAATTCAGTGTTATTTATTTAACATTCTTAATAAAAAGGTGTAAAAAATCTTCACCAATAATTCGAAAACTTCGCTGTATTTTCATGTCACTTATTTCTCTTTGACTATATGAGGTAGAAAACTCAAATTCTAGTGTACATTAGATGTAGATATCTAGTATGTATGCTGTAAATATCGACCTATTCTACTGCAATAAACACATGGAAAAAGAACATTACTTGAAAATGATCAAAACTAATGAGACACCCTTTATGCATTAACACATTTCGAAGAAAACTTATTTGATTATTCAAATAAAGATCATCCAACTCTACGAATAAATAAATATTAATTTTTTTTCATTGTGATAATATGTCAATGATTTTAATTTTAGTAAGAAGTTACTAATTTTCATGAATAGCATTGTCCTGAATCAGTCAATGATAAACCATTTGATATCAAACTTTTGTTTCTCTCTGGAAAGATTATCAGAGATAGTTTATTTTTAATTCAAAACTAACGAAAGACAATAACAAAAAAATATAATTGAAGCTTTTTAATTAACAATTAATCATAACTAACGACAACTGCTCACATCTGCTCTACTTTCTGCAGGTGTCCCTAATTATGTTAAATTGTTAATTAAAAAAAGTTCAATTTTTATTTATTGTTGTTGTTAATATCTTTGTTGATTTTAAGTTAACAATAAATCATTCCTAATGATCTTTCTAGCATGAAACAAAAGTTTAATATCAAATGATTAATCATTGACTAGTTCAGTACAATGATATTTATGGTAGGTATTCATTTCCTGAACTTCGATTATTTTAATTAGTAAGCAGAAGAGTATTATCATATTTAGTGTGTCTCATTTTTTTATTGATATAAATAAACATCTTCCAGCAATAGAGAACTCTCCTATAGTAGAAGACTTCTTCTCACCTCGCCTTCATTATTTGATTTCCCGAAAAAATGGAACCTTATTTAGGATATTCATATTAAAATATATCTATTTTTCAGGAGTTTCAGTCAAAAGACAAGATTGTTTTTAATTAAAAATTATGAAAATAGATGGACCACAATAGAAGATCCAGAATCTTCTCTGTTTCGAGTCAAAACTGAGCAAGTCATGATTCATCTTTGTTTTTCCATTTAAAAAAATGTTTATTTTACAATATAAAGAACAAAAAAAGCTTTAATACATTTTAGTTCAGTTATTTATACTGGACCTATATTTTGGTTATCTCTAAATATTTTCCATTTACAAAATGAAAATAATTTCATAAATTCTCGTCGATAAATTCGAGATGACATTGTATTTACATAAAAATTTGTTGTATAACTAGCAAATAGTGGAAGTGTAAAACTTCTTGAAAAAAACACATATATAATTGCATTTCTATTAACAAACATGCCTAGAAGATTAAGAATAGCAAATGGTAATATGCATAAAGTTTGTGTTAAAAAATGTGAAAATAATATTCGAATCAAATTACGATCAAGACGTCGATGAAGATCGCCTATATTTGCTAGTGCTGGTCTAATTTGACGAGATTGATGACGAATATTAATCGCTATAAGTAAACATAATAGGCTCATACAAATTGATGGAAAAAAACAATAGATAACTAAATAAAATATTCTCCAAAATGAATCATAAATTCCTTGTTGAGGATAACAAATTATATTTGATCCATTTGATTGAATTTGAAAAAATATCGGCATATGTAAATAAAGAATAGCAGCTAGAATAATTGCTCCACAAATACATCGTTTTGCTGTTTTTTTATTACTCCAAGAACGATGTATTATTGATGGTGAACTCGAACAATATCGATCAAAACAAGCCAATATAAAAAAATAAGGAGATAAAGCTAAAACCATATAACCAACATAAACTCTTAATTTACATATAATTGGTGATAAAGATCCAACATCAATAGAGAATCCATCAATAAGAAGTCTATTAAGTATTGCTAAATAAATGGCTAGAATATTGTCAATCGAAGCAGCAATAAAATATAATGTACATGATGAATGCAAAAATCTATGACGAGTAAATATAAATAAATCCAAAACATTACCTATTGTTCCAAAAATTACCAATAAAATCAGAACAACTCTTGTTAATTGCGCAGTAATATCGAGTAACATGTTTAGTAGGTAAAAACCGTTGAGATTCTTTGTGGTATGTTGAAAAATATGAAAATGATAGTAAAAGAACTACGTCTAGCGTCGCTTTAATAACTCACTTCTAGAAAGAAAAAAAGTTTTTTTTTCTCTTTTCTTTACAGAAAAGTAAGGACTCTTGTCTTCTTTTGATATTATTTTTAGTCAAAAAGTTGAAGTACAACTCATCGTAGAATATCCTGAAGAAACAGTTACAATCTACTCAAAAACTAGTTTAATTTTTTTAGTCTTGACACGTGATGTATTAACTGGTGGAACGAGTGGTACTTGTATCACTCTTAGATAAACTCTTCTTCTGTTGACAGTTTCTATTCATTAAAAGTGCGGGTAATGGAGAATAATAAAAAGCAGATATGCTTAACAATAGAAAAATAGATGGTACACTTGACGAAAAAGAACGATCATGGTCACAAAACATTTCGGATCATTTTTGGACATTTTTTAGTGAGAAAAATCAAGATATTTCGAACAGACGGGGTAATCACCCATAGTATCCTCTCTTTCAAATCCACTACTTAGTGTCCAGAAAGGCATCTACGAAAAAGAAAACTGTATGTCTCCGTTACGATTATATTAAATCAAGTGACTTTTTCTCTGATAATAGAGGAATCTTTCAAACTTTTATTTCCAAAGTTAACGTCGATAAATACTCTTAAAAACTATAAATTTCGCGTTCGAAGCATGCACCCTTGCCTTTTGTATTTCAAAAATAAAAAGTAGGGATTTTTTATACATTGAATCCAAAATGACTGGAGCGCATAGGGTCCTGTTTTGTTCAACTTAATATGTTCTCAAAGAGGATCATGAAGATCACCGAGTTTTGTACACTTGAACTGATGAATCTAAGTCTGTTAATATTTCTGCAAAGTGTTAAGCTATAGGTGCTTATGTTCCTTACAAACTACATCATCACCACAATACTTCTTCTAGTTGCGAGCTAAGAGGACATACGCTCCTTTTCAGATGGGTTCGAAAGCCAATGAGCTCACTCATAAGCATGACTTGTGCTAGATTTTGATACTGACAGACTATATAAGTGTTCTTTTGCTGAGCCTGGAATTGATGAATAAGAACGATTGAACAGTCCAAAACGATGCATTTTCAGCCACTAGTTAATCTTGAGTGGTCTAATATCTTAGAAAATAAAAATGAACGTATCGCCAAAAGTCCAGTACTAGTAAACTACGTGACAAGCTACGGAAAACGCTTATTTTTGTCGAACAACTCACCTCTGGTTCCGCTCAGAAATCAATCAAAACAGAAAGTTAATCATAACGCCATTATTAATGCGTGGTCATCTGTCTTTTTGTGTTGTGCTATCATCTTACAGTTTCAAAACTTGTCTTCAACTATCTAAATGAGATGTTGATTGAACCGTGCAAAAAGTCAGGAGTAAATATTTCGACGCGAATTAAAGTTGTTCGAACAATTTGAAACATCTATAGATCGGTCTAGTTTTGATATTAATTTCAAATATGTTACTTTTTTGACTAGAAAAATAATTGTCGAATGCCATTCACAGAATAGTCATTTTCACATATATCAATCAATTATACATGTTCTTGTAGCTTGTCATGTACTTTTCTAGCATGAGAACTTTAGCAATACGTTTATTTTTATTTTCGGAAAAAAATTAAGTAAACCGAGACCGGTTTTTTATACACTCACGTCCTTATAGTTTTCAGACATATTTATAGAGCTTAACTTTATGAAGGAAAAATTGGAAAGCCTCCGCTATTACCAGGCAAAAAACTAGCTTGATTTGATTAAATTGCAGTGGAGATATCTAGGTTTCTGTTTGGTAGATGACTTCGTGAACACCCTATCAGTTGTATTAATAAAAATATATTCTTCTTAATCTCTGCTACTACTCCACATATAACATATGTCAAGATGTCTATGTCCATTGACTACTTTAAAGTTTTTAGACATATAATACGCAAAATGCATCAATCAAAAATTGTATCTTCCTTATGGTGTAATGAGTGAATAAAAGAATAAATCTTGAATAAAAACTGATCACTCTATTTTCATATATGTTTAATTGACGATTCGTATTTTTTATTCCATTACAAAAAAGTGTTTATTTCACAATATGGAAAAAAAAACAATATTTACTATACTTTAGTTCAATTATTAATGTTCGATGTATATTTTCATTATCTCTAAACATTTGGATTAAATAATTTTTTTTGTTTCCCTTGTCTTTTGCAAAACGATAATGATTTCATAAATTCTCGCCGATAAATACGAAATGACATTGTATTCATATCAAAATTTGTTGTATAACTAGCAAATAGTGGAAGTATAAAAATTCTTGAAAAAAAACACATATAATTGCATTTCTATTAACAAAGATGCCTAAGAGATTGATAATAGCAAATGGTAATATGCACAAAGTTTGTGTTAAGAAGTGTGAAAATAATATTCGAATCAAATTACGATCAAGACGTTGATGAAGATTGCCTAAAGTTACTAATGTTAGTCTAATTTGACGAGATTGATGACGAATATTAATCGCTATAAGTAAACATAATAGGCTCATACAAATTGATGGAAAAAAACAATAGATAACTAAATAAAATATTCTCCAAAATGAATCATAAATTCCTTGTTGAGGATAACAAATTATATTTGATCCATTTGATTGAATTTGAAAAAATATCGGCATATGTAAATAAAGAATAGCAGCTAGAATAATTGCTCCACAAATACATCGTTTTGCTGTTTTTTTATTACTCCAAGAACGATGTATTATTGATGGTGAACTCGAACAATATCGATCAAAACAAGCCAATATAAAAAAATAAGGAGATAAAGCTAAAACCATATAACCAACATAAACTCTTAATTTACATATAATTGGTGATAAAGATCCAACATCAATAGAGAATCCATCAATAAGAAGTCTATTAAGTATTGCTAAATAAATGACTAGAATATTGCCAATCCAAGTAGCAATTAAATATAATGACCTATTGTTCCAAAAATGACCAATAAAATCAGAACAATTCTTGTTAATTGCGCAGTAATATCGAGTAATATGTTTAGTAAGTAAAAACCGTTGAGATTCTTTGTGGTATGTTGAAAAATATGAAAATGATAGTAAAAGAATTACGTCTAGCTTGGCTTGGATAATTCTCTGCTGAAAAGAAAAAAAGGTTTTTTTTCGTCTTTTTCAAGGAAACTAAAGCATCTTGTTTTCTTCTGATATTAGTTTTAGTTACAAAATTGAATCATAACTCATTATAATGTATTATAAATAAACAGTCACGATCTAGCCGAAAACTACAATAATTTATTCTTTTTTTCATACAAAAAATATTTATTAGGAAAATCAGTGGTATTTGGAACACTCTTAGTTGAGAATCTTTTTCTATTGACAATTTTTATTCATTAAAAATTACGAATAACGTATAATAATAGAAAGGAGATATGTTTGCAAACACAAAATAAGAAAATTTCTGTAGGTATAGGATAGGACTGTCAACTTTTCATCTCATTTAATAATAGACTTTGAAATGGATAATATCTTTCAAAAATAGAATATCATGAACTAAACCATGAAAATCAAAATATGTTTGATAAAAGGGAATCAGTGAGATTGATCAAAAAGTTGTGTCTAACAAAAAACGCTATGATACCTCCACGAGCTGTTAGATACTTTCAGTCTTCATATTAATTTGTTGAAGAGCATCATAATGCATGGCTTGCGTGATGAATTAAGCTAGAAGCCAATGTCTATTAAACTTGTCTGAACATGAGTTTTCCCGTCTTCTTCCAAGTTTTAATTAATCCTTGAAAATATAAATGTATGACGAATATTTGTTCTATTTTGAGCAATTTCTCTAATGAATTAATTAGTGATAATACATACGGGCGTTGTTTTTTTCCTCATTAATTCTGTTGTAGTTTTTGTCAAGACTGTCTAGGTTATTTAAATACATGCTTAAGAATATTTTTCAAATGTTAAAAGTCGACTTTTTATAGAGACATTGCGAAAAAAGGAGTCTTAAAAAACAAAACTCATTGATTTTGTTCATGAGACTCTAATTAGTCAACCGAAAATATTGCTTTCATTTGGAGGTGTACTACTATTATAAACAAAAAATCCAGTTTTTTTCTTCTATCTGAGTCATCCTCTTACGTTCCTAGTGATTTGGTAATAGAAACCATGCTAACATAAGTAGAAGAACAAAGAGAAACCTATTAAAAATGAAACAAAACATTAAAATGAAGTAAAATTATATGGAAATACGAAATTATAGTACAACCATACAATTTGTAGTATAAAAACTGTCTCTTTTAAATATTCATTGACGGAACGTAAATGTTAAAGTTTTTTTCGGTATCTACAATAATGGTAATTTTTTTTCTTATTGTCCATAATTTTGATTTTTTCTAAGAATATTACCGTTATATGTCATGGTATACGTATTTTTGTGTATAAATACATTTGATGTTCTGTGGTTGATTCTACCCAGGGAGTTAAAAAATAAGAAAAATGTCATTAAAATGATGAAAACAGACAATACAATTGATGTATTTTAAAGTCATCGATTAAAATAAACATTGTCATTAATTTCATCGCATGATTTTGATTAAAAATGAAATTTACTGCATTTTCTTGCTTAAAATGTCACTTTTCATCAATGAATTTGAAAACTAATCATTCTTTTTGTCTGTTTCATCATCATAAATGTGTTTTTTTTAGTGTTCTTGATACAAAATTCGCGACAGGCATGAATTTTATTTTGATTTTTTTGTCTTAATAAATGCTTTAAATTTATAATCACGAGTAGCATTGCCATTAATTGTCCAATCATTTTTCATTTGAGACTCTTGCTATTTGATTGCACAGTAAAACATGAGAGCTTATAAAATACATCTATATACATAATATCATTATGACATGGTTTGCGTGGGAACGCGTCACAAAGTAAACTATGCTCGCGTTTGCATGCATGAAATTTAACACATGTACACAGTTATTATTGTCACAGCATACGAGGACGTAAGAATGCGTTTGTAGAGAATCCAAGCATGTGAATGCAAGACAACAAAGCATATTTAGTAAACATAGATGAACATGTAAGAGCTATTTTTTCAAGAGATAAGATTCGAACATACATACTTTGCTTTATAGATGAACTTCTTTACTATTTGACTAGCTACTTACAATAGAAACACAATTGAAATTGAAAGATATAAGGATTATCTGATAAATTCTACGTACGGGTGAACATGAATACTAATAACTATAGGCGAATTCGGAGAACTGAAAGAAGATTTTTCAGTCAACATTTTGTGGATGTATAAGACCTATTTGCTTTTAACGAGAAATAAGGAAAATGCATGCCAAAGAAAAAAAAAATAGTATATTCTTGCACGAAGCAGGATGTGAACTACAAAATGACATAAAGTTGCATGCCGATGCAGAAATGATTTCGTAATAGCTTTGGCAGAAACAAACTTTTTACATTGACATATAGAATTTAGCATAATTCTATTTATCTTACAAGTACACATCACTAATATATTGGCATTTATATGCGAGTCAGCTATCTTGCGTCTTTTGCTTAAAAACCAAAAAATTTGTATTTCCATTAGAGTCCTGCACGGGGTCGTTTTCGAAGTCGCCGTCGAAGTCAAGTAAATTTTTTACTGAGAATTTAGTCTTAACATAAGAACTGTTTAGGCTTGCTGGTTTTATTCTCTGATATTTAATGTATAAACTGATGCATTTGGAAGGTTCCAACGACCTCTTATCAAGACCTATGAAGTTCATAGGTCTTGATAAGATGTCGTTGGAATCTCCAAAATGCATCAGTTTATACATTAAATATCAGAGAATAAAACCACCAGGTCAAAAAAGTTCTTATGCTGAAACTAAATTTTCGGCAAAAAATTCACTTGACTCCGACAGCGACTCCGTGCAAGTCTCTAACTATCTGTATGTTCGTTCTCTCGTTCGTTCTGTTAGGTATTTTTTCTAGTCTTGTTCTTTTGTTTTCTTCCTATATTTTCATTCTTTGGAAAGTCAAGAAAACGTTATTCTTGACCTAGGCTTATTATTGCGTAGTTAGTAGTACGGGCCAGTATCATTGATATGTTCGTGCTATTTTAAGAAAATCGGATTAAGATGATTGTTTATAAAAAGAAAAGTAGCTGATAAAAATAATTTAAATAACATCTTAAAATAACCATATAAACAACAATTTATATCAAATCTAACAGTATCTTCTTTTTTGTTGCTGCTTGTGGGAACAAACCAGAGATGCTGGAAATCGCTTTTTTTTCAACTCATGGCTCAATCCAATCCGACCAATTGCTCTGTAAGTGGGCTTCAGCCCATGGGTCGTAGGATTCAATTGAGTAGCTTGAACTCTACCCATAAAGTAACCCAATGGCTAACCCTGGTTATTGTGGCATACAGCTTTCTTTACATACTAATATGAATAAAAGATTCAGTGCGACCGTTAAAAGGATTGTTAATAATATGTAAGTAATCGTTCTATACTCTATGAACAAAAAACATACAGATTATCCTAATACTTCCTCGGAACAGTAAACATATGTCTGTGACACAACTGAATCGGTTTCTATGTATTTTTATAATATGATAACGAGTTTGTTAAACTTTTATTTAGCATACTTTCTGATATATATTCTTGTACCCACAAACATAAAACAAACAATAATTTGATTATCGTTCTTTTTCAGGTCAAGTAAAATAATAAAATCTAAATTTTTCATCTCATTGAACAACGAAAGGATTAGAAGTAAACTGGGCTAAAAACAAACACAAAGCTTTAATGAAACTAGTGTCTCTGCAGCTTGATAACGTCCAGAACAACCATTACAAATTGTAGAAGAAAAATTAAAACTAACCGAAGATTATAATACTCAACTAAATTGATCACGATAAATTATTCAACATTTTACAGCATCTTGTTCATTTTCACGAACAATTTTTCATTAAACTAATACTCGATGTATTATATCGAATCCATAATGGGTTCGATTTGACCAAAAAAACAGTAATTGCTTATAAATTCAGGTTCAGGTATGTAAAAGTTTGTTACCCTTGGTAAAGGACAGTAATAATCAATAAAACCAAGTAAACAACAATGTCTATTTCATTTTTATTCACTGTCAAGTTTTACTTTACATAATTATTCATAAAGACAATAGCTTGAAAAAAGGCAAACTATAGTTCATCTTTTTTCCTAGTCTTTCAAAAACGACTGATTGATCTGTTTCAATCGGATGTCATTATTTTGAATATTCATTCTAAAATGAAAGCCGCAGGAAATAAAACTTCCGAAGAGAGAGACAGAATGCGATTTATGTATGTCATGCTTGACCATCCGACCACACGATAAATATCGAGGAGCAGATTGATCACATGAGCTGTTTCATGGCGACATCGTAACTGAACAAGCCTTTTCGTATATCATTTCTTAAAAATATAAATGATTTCATAGGTTAACTCAAGGGTGATCCTTGAGTCAACCGACAAAATTTATCTTCAAATTTTGATGGGAGGGCCAGGATTGAAATTGCTATAATGGGCTGTCCAACTCATGGGTGTTCCAACCCAACAGGGTTCCAGCCCTAACCCAACCGATTCGGCATCACTGAAAGAAACTGAATAATAAACTTTTTCATATTCACTAACAATTCGAACACTATAGTGTGACTGCGAAGGTATCTGTCGGAAGTCGATTAACTTCTGCACGGGCCTGGTGGCGAAAACGCATATCCATTCAGGATACTATTCTATTACCAGACAAAGCCACTTGATTTGGTTCCATTATAGTGAAGATATGTTGGTTTCTTTTTGGCAGATGCTTCTCAACATCTGTACTACTGCTCCAGATGCAATATACATAATGTATCTATCACAACTTCTATTTTTTTAATGATACAACAAATTGATCGAATAGTATGTTTTGCCTAAAAACCAATTGCTTTATTTCCATATAGTTTCAAATCATAGTTCATAGTTTTCATTTCACTAGAAAAAAAATGTATTTTATAATGTACAGAACAAACAAATATTTAATACATTTTAGTTCAATTACTTATATTCGATCTATATTTCGGTCATCTCTAAACATTTTTCGTTTACAAAATGAAAATAATTTCATAAATTCTCGTCGATAAATTCTAGATGACATTGTATTTACATAAAAATTTGTTGCATAACTAGTAAATAGTGGAAGTGCAAAAATTCTTGAAAAAAACAAGTATATAATTGCATTTCTATTAACAAAGATGGCTAAAAGATTGATAATAACAAATGGTAATATGCACAAAGTCTGTGTTAAGAAATGTGAAAATAATATTCGAATCAAATTACGAACAAGACGTCGATGAAGATTGCCTAAAGTTACTGATGTTGGTCTAAGGACGGGGGCGCATAAGAACAGGAATCGACCCACGAACGGATTCACAAAAAAAGTTTATTTTCTGATGCAGAATTTTACGCTGAATCTTTTGATGTCAAATTCAATATATTTTCGAAACCCTTTCATGCCTTCCGGCCCATGCCAATTATACGCTACTTTTTATCAGTCCAGAGAGGTATGGGTGTGGGGATGTGGTTGTGGGTGTGGGATGTGGGTGTGAATGTGGATGTGGGTGTGTGGATGTGGGTGTGTGGGTGTGGGGTGTAGGTGTACGTGTCCTCAGTTCACGTCAACTGCCTTCGACA